ACGTAACTATCATCATTATAGCAAATAACTTCGATCATTATAGCACGTAGCTATAATTATTATTATGTAACCTTCACCAACCTTCATCATTTAAACAAGTAACATCGATCATTATAGCACGTAACCATCATCATGATACCAAATAACTTTGATTATTATAGCACGTAACCAAATCATTATTGCAAGTAACCTTCACCAACCTTCATCATTTAAGCAAGTAACTTCGATCATTATAGCACGTAACCATCATCATTATTGCAAGTAACCTCCATAATCATAGCAAGTAACTTTGATCATTATAGCACGTAGCCATCATCATTATGCAAGTAACTGTGATCATTATTGCACGTATTCTTCACCATAATATCGTGTAACCTCGATTATATTTAACTTATTGCCACCATGGGCGTCTGAACCACTGTTGAACCTGATCAAAAAATTAATTTTAACTAATGAGTGAAAAGGGCAAAAAATGTTATATCATTAACTAACGTCTTTCTCAAAGGCAATTAAATTTGGTCACAGGGCAACTTACGTTGTAAGCATGTAAAACCAAAAGTTTGTGACACTGTTGACCTTTGCCCCTTACAGGTTTACTACTTGAGGATGTAACTACATAAAGTATACATTAGATTAATCTCACTTCCTTCTTAATATAATGCAATTTGACTATGTCACTTAAAGAGACAGATGCGCCATTTGGGCGGGTTGATTTGAGTCATGAATAATATTCAGAAGTATTAGAAATGTACGAAAATCGCATAATTCCTTCAAGAATATCTCAAACTAGGAATTTCTTTTCCAATTTCTATAGCTGTATTTTCTATATAAATATGGCAGAGTCTCAAGAAAAGACAACTCCTCTTTTTAATTTTCAAACGCGGATAATTCTGGACACACGTGTATTTGAAGGCTCGAAAATTTCGACGGTGAGCTGTAAACACTATTACTGCTTGGCTAAGCTAAAATCCGTTTCTGGGACTAAGGTAAGATTGGTGAAAAAACAATGACGCATATGTCACTTTAATATATTGGAATTTGAAGATGTAACAGTAGACTAAATTCGTGTCAAATATAATAAGAAACGCATTGAGAGAGACCGTTTCTTTATTGTTTATAGCAAACAGTTTTAAGATATCACTTGCCTCATCCTAACTTCCCTGTTATAAAATACAGGCACGATTTTATAGGTTTAAAGGAATAGTTCCTCTTTCTCTTAATAAGAAGATTTTATCTCGCTCATGAGCGAATAGGGAACCATTAGTTGATGATTACAAAATCACATAATGGAACATCTTAGATTTGAGCTCTTTTTTTTAAAAAAAATTGACTTCCTCTACCGATATCAATAAAATCTCGCCTTACAATAGACGAACTCGATGTAAATTTCCCATTTGAAAAGAGATGGAAAATCTGAGATGGAGGTCTGAAAAATGATTATGTTAAAACCTTGCATTCCCGAAAATATCTAGAGGTTGTGCGGCTGATGTCCAGCCATCTACAAATTAAGATGATTGTGCGATAGATAGTCTAGGAATGTCATCATTATATGCGTCGTTATAAATGCACCATTACTAAACAATGCGTATTAAGTTTCTCAAAAGCAAAACATTGACCAATTCTTAGAAAAGAACACGATCAAGGATCCCGAAAAGGGTAATAGTAAGAAAAAAATTGAAAACCCCTGTTTTACAAGTAGCAAATTCGGGTACTTCTCGTTTGAGGAGTCCAGTACTAAACAAATATTGCTCCTTGTCTTGCTTTGTACAAGGTTTTTGGTTACTGGAATTATTTTGCTTGTATGGATTTTTATTCTTTATACATATATCTAAGTGTTTTAATGTAACCTTCCAACTATCTTACTAATATTATAAGATTACCATCTTCAATACCATGTAACAGCTATAGTATATGAATAAATTATGTAACCTTAAACCGTTATAATCATTTAAATCCCTGACCATTGTAATGTATCAATGAATAAACTGACCGCTTTCCCATTCATTTATATGATAAAAGTACATGACTAGCCGACTTAATCTCAAAATTTAAAATAGCCACCGCTACATATAGACGAGTCGATTTCAATTTAGGGAAAGATATGTCAAATGGGTTGAAGAACAATATTTTAAGACCTGTACGACAAACTTGAAGGACTTGTTACGGATGGTGCACACTCGCTTACAAGTCCTGATCTGCTAGTTCCTCGGTTGAAAGACAATACATTAAAAGTTGCTCCCTTAACTCACGCCTCACTATCCAAGGCGGTGTTTCACCACCATGTCATTATCATGAATTATCAACATCCAAGCCAATAGCTCAGAATCGCCCAAGCCAACTGCTGTGACTACCAACAACTATACCTAGTTTGCGATATCAGCATCTGCTGGAAGCGAACGTGAATTTGCAATCTACCAACCAACTGAGTTGCTTCCTTAATTTTTCAGATCTTTTCTAACAGTAGATATTTAGATTTGTCGTTCATTCTGAATAATTCATATGTGTAAGTGCAACTTTGAAGGAGAACTCGTGTTGGCCAGAATCCGAGAGCATCCTGGTTTTCAACGATTTCTAGCAACTGGGGATGAATCTGTAATAGAATCGACATTAGTTGCTCATGTGTTCTAAAATTACAGTTTTACGTCAATCGGTGGTCGGAATCTGTGACTATTCACTTTATTTGAATTATTGGTTCACTTCGACGGATCCCATGAGATGCTTAGAACCGCAAGACGCTCTGTGTCACCCTGTGGCACAAGTGAACTTTTCAAATTTAGGAAATATCAGAGATTGAAAATGCAACCTTTTTGACCATCATCGGAATGGTGGGTCGGTTGTTTGGTTGGTAGATGACAGGTTGACCAGCAGATGCTGATATCGACATCTATCTGCTTTCTATTTCTAGAAAATGTGTATAAATGAGAATAATTATCATGTCGTCTTTTCCGTTTTTTTTTTTAAATCGACAAGACTGTTAGCAGGCTTCAAATTTAGAAAGTGGTCCTTATACGGTGATAAGCTTTCGCCAGCTGTATTTAAATGATTAACAAAAGCTTTCGCGTTTATCAAATATTTCGAACATTATCACCACTCGAGAAACTTTTTTCATTAACATACCGTACGCTATTGTAATATTTGCATTGTTTAAATCGAATCGATACTAAACCAGAACAATATTACCATCAGTTTGTTACATCACTAACAACCTTTACCTTAAAACATTTTTAGAATGTTGATATTAGAAAATGTTTAAGGAATTTGGGGCAAAGTTATGCGTTATAAAATCGGCAATATTGCATCTGAGAGAATAGGTACATTTGTTCCCTAATCCATTTCTTATGAATAAAATATTGTTTCCAAAAAAATAGCATTGTGTTCATTAAAGACAACTTGGTAACTATGGCAGCATTAGCCTTCTATTTTGATTTCCAACTGTCGAGGGATCTTTAATGTACACAGCCTGTGGCACACGGAGCCTTGGTTAATATCTAGCCCGTATTCAAGTTCTGTATTTCCCTAAATATTTCTGTTAACGTTTCCAGAGGTGTATGGGCTCAGGTCCAGTGGCGATTCAATGAAGCAGTGAAGCAGAGGAATCAAGGGTGTTGAAGATGGTCTGAAGTCGACCTTACAACTGGTAAAATATTCTGAATGGCACTTGATTTTCAACGACTGCTATCAACTGGTGGCATCGCTGGAAGAATCTGATCAATCGCGGATCGCACGGCCAACTGAACATCGCAGTTGTACTCAATATCAAGTTCCTCGATCTGATGAGAGGTCGGAATCTGCGACCATCTAGTTGATAACAGACTTGCTTTTGGTCGATCTATTTCCTTGCGTTTCTCTAATGTCGACTTTGACGGATCATAAGAGAGATTCTACTGCAGTTTCTGACGCTGATAAAGGGTTTGACCAGCATGATTGATCTGATATACAGAATGTGGTTTCTTTATCTGTCATCAGAGGTTGAACATAAGAGGGACCTGATAGATTGCGTGTCCCCTACACGGAGATTCGTGAGCTTTCTTGATTAATCTACTGGGTCTTCCTTCTTTTAGTACCTGATAGATTGTTCCCCAGTTGTCCGTGTTTCTATCCACGGCATGTCAATCTAGGGTTTCCTAGAAAAAAAACGCTCAATGGAAAGGCAGGGTAATGAAATGTAAGTAATTAAATATCGGATTATTAACTTGTAATTAAAAACCGTTAATGAGGCATTGTTCTTTATAGTAGCATGAACATTTAATTTGTTTATCCTTGTTTACAGAAAGTATCAATTGTCCAATATACTATACCGGCGTCGTGGATAAAAGTCGTATTAGGAACGTATTGTTCATTTAATCATTAAATAATTAACACGTTGGAACAATAAATGGTAATTAGCTTCTATTGTCATACAACAATAACATGAGACTATTACCACCAATTAAACATAGCCTTGGTCTGATTGATCGTCTGCTACCTGAATGTGACAACCTGTCAACCCCTATACAGGTAAATTAATGGACTGGCTCAGCTCAGTGTTGTTGAAGCAGGTAGATTTTGTAGTGAACTAATATCGAAAAGGTTGTGAGGACTGAAGACAACTGAAGTGGACTTATTACAATGAATGTCTTTTCACTATATAAGTTAATTAAGATGGACGTTTTTTAAACAATTACCACAACATTCAGGTGTGACAAAGTTTGTAAGTGAAATTATTTTTTGATTTTTGGGAGTCCAGTATTTACTTCAGAAGAAAAGAAAAAATGTGACAGAAAAATTTCTCTTGTCTTGTGAATTTGGCTGCTTGACTGTTTTTAGTTCTGGTGTGTCTCCACTACATTTGTTTAGTTTAAAACTTGTGTATGTTTTGTTTTTCAGTATAAGGAAATATTGTATTGAGTATTAAGTGATCAACAGAAAAAAAAATGGCCACATTACAACAACAGCAAGATACTGCTGCTTCTATTGACAGAGGACAGAAAAGATTAAATTCTTTATTTTTCCCTCATGGAATGAACTTACAGAAATGTAAAAGATGCGGAGAAACCGTATATCATAATGAACGGATGGGACCAGTACATGATGCCGTTTTTCATCGAAACTGTTTCAAATGCTGCCTATGTGGCACCACGTTGAATTTAAAGAATTATTTCTCCAATCAAATCGATGCCAATGACAGTGAAGTGTATTGTGTCAAACATGTTCCAAGAATTGGTGGTGCCAAGATCGATTCTCAGTCTATGTCCATACAACATAATATGTTGAAAGCAAACCAAGGTGGATTAAATCGCCATACATCGGAAGTACGAGTTCATGGGGTGGCACCGAGTTTGGATGCTGATGCTTTTGGAATTAGTCATGCTATGGCAGCAACTCGATTGATTCCCAAAACTGATAAGTCTGTACATCAGTCCAATGTTGGCGCCGATGCTCTGTATATCAGACAACAAATGGATGCTCAAGCCTTACAGAGGCGTTATCAGAGAAAATTAGATAAACATCATTTTCCACCTCATATTGTAAGTAATTATTTTCTATTTTTCATTGAAAATTCAATTCACCCTAAAAGAAAATGCCAGGGAATAGTTTTGTACACCGCTTCCCACCTTTACAAGTTCCTCCCCAATGGTTTCCCTCTTTTTTGTAAGCCTTTTCTCAACCTCAGTGAGATCTCCTCTCAGAAATAGTTCCATTTTCAGATTTTCAAGATGATTGAGTGATTTCTTATACATTTTGTATTCCCTGGAAATTAGGAATCATAAGAACTTCAGTTTTCTCATTGACATTGACAAAATATGCTTATTATATAAGGCCCTTTGCAATAGTTTTAGTGGACTTGTAGGTACCACAGACATCTGACTAAAAATTAGAATGGTGCAAATGGATGCCAACAGTGTCCTGGATACTCATGAAAAATTTAGAAAACATCTTTACAATCCATTAAAGTTCATTTAGTCTGAGGACCTCCATTCAACTATTTGTTCATTCTTTACATTGTTTCTATGCATTGTCTTTCTGAACAATAGAATTTTGCTAATTATTAAGTCTATAAATATCTTTCAAATGTTGATTGTATGCATGAACAATCTTAAAGCATAGACTGTATGGGTCATGGTTAAGATAGACTTAGTGTATTTCCTTATACACCTACTATTCTATCATATACTTGAACTGTGGCTACACTTAAAGGAAGAGGTGCACCATTTTGGGGGGGTTGATTTGAGTCTTCAGAAGTACTACAAATGTACGAAAATCATATACTGGTATCATCTTCTAATATGCTTCAAACTAGGAGTTTCACTGTCTATTTCTGGATACACATGGATTTGAAGGCTAAATTTCACTGATGAGCTGTGAACACTATTACTGAATAGATCAGCTAAAAAATTCTTGTTTCTAAGGCTAAAGTCACATTGGTGAACCTGTCCCTTTAATTCATTTTAGTACATAGTACATGATTATAAGTACTTAGTATACCTTTTATTCTTTGATATACTTGAACTTTACTCATACCATATAAACTACATGTGTCGCAATTTTGATCTCCACAGGTGTGACTCTCTACTTGATTGATTTTTTGACCATGACAAACTCTGTGTCATACCTCTTGTTCATTCATTAATGTCTTATTTTGAAAAATATCCTTATGAAATCACTATATGTTTCACCTTTTGAAACTTAAAACTGTAAAAAAATCTTTTAGCTAAGACATGATTTCTGTATAAAACATAACGACTACTAATGAATGTTATGAAATTTGATCAAGTATAATGATATTGATTACTTCAATACAAGTGAATATAATTTTATATTACAACATTTTTACCACTAAAATGGTTTTCAGTTTTTAAGAATTTCCGTTCAAAAAGGTTTCTCTAAGGAATTAATACAATCTAATTAAAATTAGACCTAACTTCCGTTCGTATTTTATTAGTTTCTTTTTGAATGTTTTATTAGTTATTAGCTTTGTACATAACCACTACAGTAAGGTCTTACACTGTCCTTCTTGACTTTTCATTCTGTCAACTCTGTTTTAACCAATCATGTGGCTGCCCTTTCCAGCAACGGGATAATGTGCCACAAACAATAGGTGCATTCCTAGACATATTAGACTTACGGTCTTGATAAGCTAGTCTAATATATTAATTATTAATTATTAATTAATTAATATATAAATGATTATTTCAAAAATTATTTCACAATTAAAAAGTGAAGTCTTCATTAAAACTGCTTTCTCAGGATTATGTTCATATTGTCTCTGATAGGGTTTTAATGACAGCTTTTGTCAGTTTTGACATGGTGATCTAGTGTTTATTTGTAAAGTATCATCATAACAGATCTCTATTTTTAACCAGCCAAATCCTGTCAGACTGTCATACATTTCTGTAAACAATTTATTTGTATTGTTTGTTGGGTAAGAATTATTGATTTCTTTCCAAATTTAACAGTCATCGAAAATACAAAATCAAACATTGAAAACTTGATTGAAAACTTGATTGTATTGAAAGAAACAGGTTCACCATTCATTTGACCAATTGTACTTTAGTCTCAGAATTGGGATTTTTTCAGCTAAGCTAATCAGTTATTGTGTTCACAGCTCACTGTCTAAATTAAGCCTTCAAATCCATGTATGACCAGAATTATCCATGTTTAAATGTTAAAATGATGACTCGTCTTTTTTTGAGATTCTGCAAAATACAGAAAAGACATATATAGAAATATACAATGAATTCTTAGTTTCATGTATTTTTGAGGAAATTATGCAATTTTTGTACATTTCTAGTACTTCTGAAGACTATTTACATATATTCAAGACTCCAATTAACCCCAGCAAATGGTTCAACTGTCCCTTTAGAAATAACTTATTTATCAGTAAAAGGAATCTAGGTAATTGTGAATCATTTGTGCATATCATTAAATCACAAGTTAATATGCACCCAATAACTCATTTGAAATATTCAAACCTTAGGGTGTTAGTTATTTCACCAATATAACGGATAATCAAATATGTCTGAACGTAAAAGATTTCTTCACAATGTTGAAGCAAGGTACTTTACAGGAATAACCTTACAGTAGAAATAAGAAGATACAAATACACAAGGTTTGAAAAATCGCATAATCCCTTCAAATAGACCTCAAACTAGAAATTTCACTGTCTATTCCTATACTTGTGTTTTCTATATATGGCATAGTCTCACTAAAATTCGAGTCTAATTTTTAACTTTTAAACATGAATAATTATGGATAGACATAGATTTGAAGGCTCAAATTTCAATGATGACCTGTGAACACTATTACTAAGCTAAAAAACATTCCTGTTTCTGAGACTACGGTAAGATTGGTCGAAGGGATAGTGAAGTCAGTTTGCCTCTATTTGTACCCCTAGTTCCAGGCTGGCGCCATCATTGCTGATTATGTTTTGTGATTCACTAGATAAAATGTTCCAGAAGGTCATAAGTGTTGCATTCATTTTAAGTTATGTACATAATGACATAACATAACGTAACATAACATAAGTGATGATTTTTCTAACCCTTATGTTAAATGGGGCATAAATTTACAAATTATAATGGCATACGACAGTGTGGTGTGAAATTTGCATGAGTCATTTAGTAATTTAATGTATAGTAATAATCGTGCAATGCATGAAATTAAAAGAAAAAAATTCTTAAAATATTAAGCCAATACATATGGATATATTTCACCTTAATAAAAAAGAAAAACAATCAGTAAATTTCTCTGGCTAAAATTAACTGAACAACTGAAATTTTCAACAAAGTTTGAAAAAAAATCAACTTTATATTTTAGTTCTGGAGTTGAATCATGGTCATCTCAGTTTTCTTTATTTTGAAGAGGTAGTATTAGGTCGTCAGAATTTAGGATGATAGCAATATTCTTTTTCCTGAAGAGTACTAATTAGTATTAGTATATACTGAAAAGCAAAAAGAAAGATCATATTTATGCTTCATATATTGGCCTACATTTCTATTTTCAAATGATTATTATATGTAAGCAAAGACATGAGAGAAAGTCAATGTTAAATCGACATTCAGGCAATAAAAAGAAACAGTATAGCATTAAATGAGTACATTGACCACACAAGGTGTAACTGCCAGTGTCTGAAAAGGTTTATAAGTGTTTTCAGAATTGACATTTCTCTTTTGCAATTCAGTAGAGTATTAAAGATGGGTTTCCTTATTAAGTGTCAAATTCAGCAAACTATTTGTTTAATTAGTGTTTCTAATGAATTGTCATGTATTCTTAATCATATCTTTATGTTCTTATTGCATATAATTAAGAGTTTTAACCAATCATAAATGTCCATGTATGTATATACTTTTTGACCTTTCTTGATGGGTCAATCATTGGAATTCTGATGATAATTTTCTTCTAAATTAGCTAATTATGAATTAATTATTGACATGTGAGACAAACTGGTATTTTTTCGAGTCATTAGAACATCTCTACTTTCTAGTCATATAAGTATTAGCATTTTCATTTTCATAAATGAAAATAAGGGAATCCATCTTTAAGAGTTAAACTTATTAAAACTGGTATGCAATGATATAATAAGGATAGTATAATTCACTCAGTACTGAGTTATATCATTATGTAGTCAATGGTTATTGAAATCAAGTAGTAATTGAAGATGGTTAAGTTGACAGTATGATAATGACAGTGTATCAAGTATCTGGTATATGATATAAGTATATCAAGTATGAATAATGAACTGTTAAAATGTCGTACTGTCATATTAAAGACATGTTACATATTAGAATGAAAATAAAATTTAACTTTTCACTTATTGAATTATTAAAGGATTATGCTGTGTCAGTGGATGAATATAGACTCTTTTTGATCAAGTTTGAATCTAAATTTTATGTTCAATTTAAGAGGTAGTATTCCTTTGATATACCTATATATACAGCTGTAATATTAGATACTGTATTGCACGGAAGTTGTTGTATGATATGGGAAGTTCCTTGTTGGTCAACTTCTTGTTTTCCTTATATCCTTAGATAGGTGCAGCTGATATAATTACCTCAAAATTGTATATATATCATTAATATGCCACTCACCTACTCTTGAAGCAGCTGCAACCTAGTGACATGATATCACTTTTGGCACTCTTTATCTGCAACAAGCTTATTGAACATGATATTTGTGATGTAGTATATTTTTAGCAATTGAAAATGCTCGCTAACCTGAAGGTCCAGGGTCAAATCCCAGCTTAGGTCGAGGTAATATCTTCAGATATTTCAACCTGGTTTCCCCCTGTCAGTGATGCAGGTGAGAGGGGCTGACATGGAAAAAGCATTTAGACAGGCAATAAACCGAGGCCCTGTGGGCTACAGGCTGTTTAAGATCCCTCGACAGAGCAGGCTAATGCCGCTGTCCTGGCAAAATTTCCCTCATTGCCCGTCTTCAATAGTCCAAATGGTGCAGAAAAGTAGGACGTAAAACTCCATTCATTTCATTTTTTTCTTTTTTAAATCCTCTAATTGATAAAAAAAATATA